ATCCTTTGCTGGAATCACTTCTTTGGATTATGACTCGGTGCGTTTCGTTTTAAAGTCATTGTTTTTGCCTCAAGTGTCCAGTGTCCTCTGTCCCTCTCAGCTGCCGGGTGAGCTGTTCTACGTGGGCCTGCCCTCCAGCTACAGCCTGCCCGCCCTGGAGGCCACCCTGCCGAGGCTCCCCTCCTACGAGAGCGTCCGAAAGAAGGACCGCCAGCGGCAGATCCACATGATGATCGCAGACCGTTTCGGCCTCAATGGACCCATTGTTACTGAGGTAGGGTGAATTACCGTATTTTCCGGACTATAGAGCGTACCATAAGCCTCACCTACAAATTATTTTGATAAAAACTGGAAACGCATCGCTCTCGGTTTTCCGTAAGGACCCAGCAGAGGGCAGCGTCCTAATAAATCTGCTGGACGAACCATGGTTTCGTTCACACAGAGTTTATGTGCAGTGGCTCTATTTCCCTCCTGTACTGCCAGATCAATAGCCTTCAACTTAAAAGCTGCATCATATGAGTTTAAATCATTTCTCCGTCGTGCCTGCTGCTAGCATGTGCTTGTTCTAAATGAAAATTAGCGCTTTCTTCTTTGATTTAATGATTCACTTCCTGCTAAAGCGCCCCCTGGTGGTTGAAGAAAAATCCACAGAAAAGCCGCACATGGACTATAAGCCGCATGGTTCAAAGTGTGGGGAAAAAAGTAGCGGCTTATAGTCCGAAAAATACAGTAATTCAAGACTTCGCCGCAACATCCACAGTCACAGATCCCGTGACGATGAAGCCCTTCAGAGACTGCTGTCGAGCTTTTTTTTTTTTTTTTTAATGGGATCTGGAGACAGTTGTCACTTCGGTCATGCAAGGTCAGCTCAATGTGTGGCTTAGCACTAAATAAAGATAAATTAAGGTACCTTTCTATCTGTCGCTGTTTCACTGACAGACAGTTCTGCTGCAAGAGATTAGACAGCAGTCGCATCGGGGTTATCAGGAAGCGCGATCAGCGCCTCTGCATTGTGCTCCCGCTTTTAACATTTTACCTTGTTGATCTATGGCTGAGCTTTGGGTTCGCACAACGCTCCAGCAAACAAGGTAATGAGAAAAAGGCACATCGAACATAATTAGAGGCCGCGTCCATGAGTGCAAACAGTGGCCAAGAAAGCAGCTTTGTACTCCTGTCGTCTGCCCTCCTTTTTCTTAATCAGACACTCCCTGACATGACACACACACACGAAAGCGAGCTCACACCCGCTGCTTTTTGCCCATCACAGCAGTGGTCAATAAAGAAGCAGATATCCCTCCCGCCTCCTCCCCTTTCTGGCCTGAACGTGAGCGAGAGCTCAGATAGTGATGCCCGCTCGTTGTCCCCCATCTGTCCTGCAGCCTGAGGCAGGACGGCATGGAAACATTTGCAGCCTGGCGCTTGTGTGTGGTGTGAGACAGAGTGCAGGGTGCGGGGTTGTTCGTGTTGCCTGAGGGTCCCAGAGCAATTAAAAGATAAGAGAACTCAGTAAGGCAGCGTGGATCTGCTCGATTTTATCAGGCAGATAATGAAGGGGAAAAAAATCAAGTTCCAGCCAGCTGGAGTGGGACCGGATTAATTGGTAATGTAAATACAAACATGTTCCTTTTATTCTTTAAAAATAGGCTTCAAGCCCTGCAGGCCACAGGATGTTCTCTAACTCCCCTTTCCCCCAAAAACGTGCAATACAGGGTCCAGCAGCTGTATTTGGTCCGTCCTTTTCATGTCTATGAATATAACTTTATTTGCACAAAGCAATGATGATGATGATAGATAAAGCAAAGTTATGTGGACACAATTTAACCCTAAGCTATCTACAAAAACCACAGTCTAAACTTCTACTTGAAAAATGTATATCTCAGATAGCATCTCAGATGACTCCTGCGTTTCAGTGTTTTGTATAACATACAAATGCAGTGGATGGAAGTAGCTAAAAATCCCACTATTCTACTGACTCATTTTTTTTCATTAATTGGACTTGAATCTAGATTAACTTGGTTCTGTCTGCAACAGAATGAATTTCTGTCAAATCAAAACTCAAGGCAAACACGTGTTCATAAATTTGTCTGTTTAAGCCATTGTTAAAACAAATCCCAAATATTTTCTGTGAAAAGTTACCAAAATCTATCAATTATTACCAAAAAGGTTGTTATTTGGAGAAACAAGACTAAGACCCCCTCTGTCATTTGTGATCCATACAGTCTCCTCCGTCGTACGAAGAGAGCATCCGCCAGTCTGTGGAGCTACCGTGTGACATCCTGCCATCTGACCTGGATGTTCCCCTTCCTCAGAGAGCTTACATGAGCGTGAGCCCAGGTTACACCACAGACAGCACCATTCTACCTCCTGTATGAAGCCGAACAAGCCCTCAAGCTGGAGAAAGGCTGTACCTCAGTTTCTGAAAGAGTTCAACAGAACTTTCTGATCCAGATACCTCAAACTGAGCCGGACAACCAACCCAAAGAGGAGCTGCATCCCATCTAACCAGAGGCACATATGAATACTTCAAAAAACTGAGCATTCAGAAACCAAGGTGGCTGGGACATCTTAGGAAATTGACCAAAACAAATTAATGACAGTGTTGTGGGTGCGGTTCTGCTCATAATTATTTTATTTTTTATGTTTTTTTTATCATAAACCATAAAGTGAAAACACATTGTATGTTTTTTAATTCAGATGTGCTGTAAAGCAGATATTTGTTTGTGCAGCCAACCAACAAGGAGGGAGACAAAAAGTGCCAAACACACAGTTATTTTCACTTTTAAGAAAGTTGAGCTAAATGCTCACAAAACACTATGTTCTCTATAAAAGAGGGAGGAACAACTCAAACCCGGGGAACAAACGAACAACAAGGAGCTAGTTTTGCAAAACTCAATAAAACACAACTTAAAATAACAGTCTGGGAATCATCCTCCACAGTCACCAATCAAATACTATGTTTTATAGAGGGAAACAAAAGTAAAGAAATGCAAAATATGATACGAGCAAATTTCCCACTGTGCAACAATATCTGTTTTTATTGTGTTCATTTACCTCAGTGTGCGTTCATGGTTAGGTTTAATCTTGAACTCGTCCTGTGCCGTATTTATTGAAGAACAATAATTTCCCTCGTGTTTCTTCTTTGTGGAAATGCAAGAAATAAACAGTTTTACTATTTTGTTGATGGGCTGTCCTAATTTAAGTTTCATTTGAATAACAGAGAATAAAGAAAACCCATGTGCACAACAAAGCCGCAGCGTAGAGAGATCTGTCTGTACACGTGTGAGGAGGAGAACGTTTTAAACATAAACGGAACGGAGATTCTCTGAGGAAAAAAAAAATGTATAAATCGTTTGGCTCCGATCATGAAGACTTCTCTTATGATGTGGCTGTGTCACAAAATAATTGCTTTGTGTTTTGTTGTTCAACATTAATAGATGGCATTTGGTTTCAGTTGTAATGAAAATTCAATCCAATTCCCCAAAACACGTTGCTAGGAACTCTACTTTTATTATTTAATAGTGAACTTTTCCACACTGTGCCATGTTGCATCAACAAATTTATTTATTTTTTGCTATTTTATTGGTATTTTATGTGACCAACAGAAAGTAGAGCTTCACTGTGAAATTGTAGGAAAACAATATATGTTTCTGAAAAATCCTTGCGGATAAAAATCTGATAAGTGTGGCATGCACTTCTTTCAGCCCCATTTATACTTTTTCCTCTAAATAAAACAATGGTGCAACTGATTATAGCTTAACTAAAAGGCAAAAAAAAAAAAACAGCACATGTGAGTTTATTTTAATATCCAATTGCATGGAATAAAGAAGAGTTGACGCAAATTTCAGATCTGCAAAGCCGGTAGCAGACTTTCAGCTTTAATTGGACCGAAAGGTGGTTCAAAAATGTATTTGCTGACAGTTCAGATCACACAAAAATATACACCAAAATGTTCAGATTTTCATTTGTAGAAAAATTTGAGAAGCATGTATCGTTGTCTGTCTACTATACAGTCTGTCACATAAAATCCCAATAAAACACATTGGTGTTTGTAGTTAAAATTACAAAATGCAGGAAGAGGATATGGACATTTTTCTAACGCCATGTGTTATATCTTATAGTTGTTCACTGTGCATTTTAACCTCATTAAATTGACAGCACTTGCACAACAAATTAAGTTGTTTATAAAGATGCTTAAAATGGTAATAAAAGACACTGATTTGTTTTCTGCTATGATGTTTTCAACTCAACACCAACTGAAATAGCCACAAAAATTTAATAAATAAACATTGTTGACTCGCTCCCCGGGTTTTAAATAACTAGTAATGTATGGATTTAACATTTATTTTTTTTCCAGCTCCTTCTCCTGAGTGGAAGACAGTGTTATTATTTCTCCAGCGTGACTCAGCGCTGTGCCAATTGGACAGCCGCTTGCGTCACTCACGGAGAAAACCGAACTTCCCCGAGCAACCAACCGCCAGTTTGGTACGTAAACAAGGTCAGACTCTGCAGCACACAGACTAGACTTCTTCCCGAGCCGAACCCTCCTGCTTTTTTTTATTTTTTTAAACCAAGAAGAGACCCAACAAAAATCTGCAGAAATCTCAATTTTAAGGTAAGCTGCGCTTCAGCGATACGTAAAAACCAGCGAGGTTTATCTGCATGACGCACTGCAGGGGTGAAATTGTGCGGAGCTGCCTGAAAGAAAAAACACGTTTAATGGGACTCTATGATGGTGGGGAAACAAAATTAAGTTTGCAATGTGTATGAAGAGAGTTGCTGACGCTTCGGTGCAGATCTGCTGCAAAGTCGCTCTGCGGCTCTGTATTTACTTCTTGCGCAGTCATCAGCTGACCTCAAACTGGGTCGGGGTTTGAAACTGCGTGGTCATGCTCTCCTACAGTATGAATAAGATCGCCGGACGTGCTGCGTGCATTTAAATCAAAATCCGGTATGTTTCTTATCCCGCGTGAACCGTCACTTGTTCTAAAATGAAATGTTTAATTTTAAAAAAACAAAAGCGTCATTCAACCCCAACTTAGACAGTCTTCTTTATTTTCATGTTTTGTTGCTGCATCTTAATTGAGCATGAGGCTGGACTATGGGAGCTGCAATGATGGATTTCTGATGCACAATCTGACTGGTTTGTGTTGCTCTGCAGATTGTAGGAGAATGTGAGTGTGGCATAAACAGAGAAGGTGTAAGGATTTCAGACAGAGAGAGGACCTTAACAAGGACACGACCCGGGCAGGCCCAACATATAAACGAACTTTGCCCAGATTGAATGTGTCAATCTGTTCTGAAAGAGAACAGATTGACACATTCAGCAATTGTACACATCGTTAGAAAAACTTGAATAGTTTGAAAGTTCTAGTAAACGGAGGGAAACTGGTAAAAAATAAAAATAAAAAAAAATCCTGAGTTTTCTGGTTCCGCTCTGGTTGATAATGGCTTCTGGCTTGATAACTTATTTTTCTGGACTAATTGCACTTCCTTGAGTTTGTTTAGGTTGCAGAGGTGCTCCGAGGCATTGCTGTTGTGATCACGCTGTGCAGAAAGGTGAAGTTTCCATCACGTGTCATGAGCTCCATGCTGATGTTTTGGCCGTAAACATTAGTTAACCTCTTGCACAAAGTCCACTTCCTTCAAAGAAGCATTCCTGTTTTGATCTCTCCTTGAAGAATTAATTCTGTTATGAGGAGAAACGCAATAAAAAATAATTAAAAAAAGTATTTCAGGGTTAGGGTTTCACTTCAGATGTGACAGGTAAACTCAGCTTGTTCAAACCATTCAGATTTTTAACATTCCCTTAAAAACTGGTTATAGGGCATTTCAGGGCAACAGCACGGACTGGAAAAACAATAAATAAAAGAGGTCGTGTTTGTTTTTATTACACCTACCCATGATGCTTTTGGGAAGCAGCATTTACCTGAATCTGTCATTGGTCATTGCAGGACACGGGCACAGACAGCAGCCAAGATGATGCAGTGTTTTCACTTCATGGTCGAGCCGGCCAAAAACCTGACAGCCAAGATTAAGGTCAGCGTTGTTTTCTTCAACATGTTTAATGTTCAAACTTTTTTTTCTTTAGGTCACATTGTTACTTAAGTAGATAATTCATTTGAAAACATTGCTATCACGGCCATCTAGGATGCGCACCTTGCTTTTATTTAGCAGAAAAGAGCTAGTTGGATGTCTCTGCTAACACCATTAGAGCCTTGATGTGCATTTTGATCAGGCAGTGCAACTGCCTCCTCTCCAGATTGACATTATTACTTTCTAAAGCACTTCTGGACGAGCACTGGCATCCTCAGTGTGGGTCTTGAAGCCTCACTCTCATTCCAATGAGTATCTAACAGAAACCCCTTTGTTTGTGTTTTTTTTTCTTTTTCTTTTTTCCCCTGATAGGAGTCGAACAAGAGAGCAAAGAGAGAGAAGAAGGAGCCTCTGGATGAGGATCAGCTGTTTGTGGTGGAGCTGGCGAAAGACCTGAGCCGGGTCTGCCAGGTACGGCTTCAACACGAAAGAAGCATATTTCCAAAAGCAATCTAGAGTATTATTTTTTTTCCCCTCAACTTCTCAGAACATTCTTACCTATCTAAGCTGGGGATTTTTTATTTGTGTTTTCTTTTGTTTCTTTTACTTTCTTATTCTGTAACATCACATGGCACTACACAGCTAATTGATTAGTAGTCCAACAGGAAAGCTGCCGTACAAAATAAGAGAATAAGAGAATTATCTGCTGTCTTTCACTCTTTTTTTTCTCTTTTTTTGTTCATTCCTGCAGAGGTCAGAAGTCCTGGAGCACATCTGTAACCAAGATGACACTTGGTCGTCTCCTCTCTGCCGACTCTTCGTCCTGCAGTCGGCATCCATGCTAGAGAACAAGGTGCAAAGCCAAGATACAAACCCCCCCCCCAAACAACGACAACATATCGCTTATTAAAACAATGACAGCGGTATGAAAGCTAAGGTGTGTACCTTAAGGTGAATTTCTGTGTGCAGAAGACACTGATGCAGACTGATGGCTGGCCAGAGATGGACGAGGGCAAGCAGCCTGATCTGATTAACGGACAGGACCTGGAGCGGGCCAAAGCCGTCATCCTTAACTGGATCAAAGACCTGAGGGCCCAGCCTGAGGTGGGAAGCTTAAGTATGCGACTAAACCCTTCCCGTTGTACCGAACCTTCAAAATAACAGCTGTTCTTTCTAATAAACGCTCAGCAAAGCGTGTGGCCCGGAGAACCAGTCGCCAAGATCCTGGAGGACCTCCAGTCAGCCTGGCGCTGGGGACGCGCGCCCAATCTCCTGACTGCTATGGAGTTGGTTCTGTGGACTTTAGCGTCTCAGCGACCTGACAAGGTAGCAGCTTGTGTTGTGAATCACAAAGTATACTGAACATTTTCTGGGCCAAAAATTTAACAACACCCCCACCCCCCTTTTTTTTTTTTTTTTTTTTTTTTTGCAGAACACCATCCCACAGCAGTGGCTTTTGTGGAAGCAGAGAACTCACAAGATTGGTTCGTAAATCACTCCAGAATTTATTCTGATGTGGTTTAATGAAACGAAATGTTCGTTTTCATCGGTTTCATCGTTTCCCTTCCAGGTGCCATATCCTACATTCCTCAGCCAGGTAAATGAGACCAAGAATATCAAAGTACACACTTTGAAATTTGTATGGCAAATCTCTTCAAGGGATAAATAGAAACAGCTTAAATTTATAGATTTTATTCGATAAGTTACAGATTACTTAATAGAAACTATTTCCAAGGAACACAGGAGTTATATTGCCATTATAGTACAAGTAAGATGAAAATATTGTTTTGCTCCAAAAAAAATCTGGAAAAACAGACATGATTTACACCAGAAACATTGCTTATATGTAGAAATATCTGTGAAATATTGCTATTTACAGCATCTAGCACTCTTATCGGCACTCTAAGATAGAAATTTAATACAGATTCAACTTTATTGCATGAGGATGATCCAACAGTAACATAAATAAATATTAATTTGTGTTCATTTATTCAGAAGAGGAAAAACAAGCCATGTCAGAAGTGCCCTGGCTGTGTACTGAAGTTTAAAACCGGTTATTAGGCAGCCAAATGGAAATGAGAGTTTTTCCTATGTAATAATTATTTTCTTAATCCTCCCAAGTCTTTATACCACAATGAAAGAACAGACGACCATGATCTCAAGAGATCTATTTAGCTTGTTTAAAACAGCTCTCACGCCCCTTAAGGGCCCTGGTACACTGGTCTTTTGTGTTTTCGAAGCAGCTAATTAGATGAATTTTAGTGTTTTCCAGAAATTTTCCTCACATTTATCAGTTGCAAATAAAAGTTCTGTTCATGCTGAGATAAATCTTTTTTTTTTATTATTGTTATTGTTTTTGTAGTGTGGGACTGGATTGGAGATGCTGCAGGTACTTGAACACGTTTCCTGGAAATATTTTGGTCAGTTTTCTGAGTCGTCTTTGATATTCAAACCGTCTTCCTTCCCGCCCAAAGTGGAGGTAACTCTGGATCTGGACACGGCCAACCCAGACCTGCTCATCTCTGCCGACGAGAAGAGGATGCGCTGCGGCTTCGAGCGGAAGGATGTTCCCAACTACCACCAGCGCTTCGACGGGTGGTGGTGCGCCGTCGGCCTGCACGGCCTGGGCTCCGGCCGCCACTACTGGGAGGCGGAGGTGGGTGAGCGCGACTGGCGGCTGGGCGTGGCCAAAGAGTCGGCGCTGAGGAAGGGCTTCAAGTCGCTGAACACTGACACCGGGTACATGACCCTGCGGCTGGAGAGGGGCACCGAGTTTAAAGCACTGACGGTCCCCTTCACCGCCTTGCCACCGGGCCTGATCCCCCGTAAGGTGGGCGTCTACCTCGACTACGACAACGGCCAGCTGTCCTTCTACGACGTGGACAAACACTTGCACATCTACACCTACAACGAGACCTTCACCGAGAGGCTGTTCCCGTTGTTTGGTACAGTGGAGATTGTTAGGGATCTGGTGATCCGGTCTCCAACACCTAAGACCCACTGTCTCTGCCCCACATCCTGCCTGTGGGCCTAGGTTCCTCCACCACCACCCACCAGTCAGGTTTTCCTGTATGAGCCAGTATAGTTAGAGTATAAGAACCCAGAATAGCGGTGCAATCCTGATATAAATGACCACTCTGTATGCTGCTTCTGCTTTAATGTGACTTCTGCTGCTATTTTCTCAACATAGAGTTAGAGCACCACCCTCTGGTCTTTTGTGTTTTCAGACATTTGAGCAGAAACTCCAATGTAAAAAAAACAACTTCTGTATTGTGCAATACTAATATGATAACAACAAAGCACTTCTGTGAATAAAGAATAAATCAAATTCAGTTTTAATTGCGCTGTTTATTTCTCTTTTAAGACCTAAAAGAAGATCTTTAAATTATTGAATTTATTTATTTTAGCCACTGTTGGTTACCGTTTCCTTCCCATGTTCTTTTGATCTTATCACATCTTCTGATATAACATCAGTAATCAGAATTATCTAGGAAAAATAAAAACAAGCACCATATTCATGAAGAGTCCAAGTCTATCTACAATTTTAATATTGCCCAATCTCGTCAATAATATAACTTGAAAGCTGATGGTTTTCAAGTTAATTAGTTAGGTAGAAACTCTTGTTAGATAAGTTTTTTATAATCAAACATCCTGGAATTTGGTACTGGTTTCTGTTTTAGAGTATTCATTTTTTTGCCCAAAAGATGATTGTGTCTGCAAATCCCAGTAGATCAGCAGGTCCAATCAGAGATAAGCCTGCCAGGTACCAGCAGCGCTCGCCTTCCTCATTCTGAAAGCATTTAAAACGGGGAAGACACAATATCAGATTTTCTAATCTAGTGCAGCCACAGTAAAGCGTGAGCCAAGCCTTGTCATAATTTCCATAGGTGGTATTTTGACTTTTGAGAATTTTAAGTCTAATGAACAATCACATAGTTTACTCTAACAATGCTTTGTACAAAATAGACATTTTGTCATTTAGAAATTAACAGACTGTAAGTGATTACTGAAGTATTTCATCATCTACAATTTACACTAAGCTCAATTTGTTTTAAAATTGAAATACTTACACAAATAAGGCCAATTTTTTTACAATTCATCCCAGTGTAATATAAAGCTGCCTTCATTCATTCATTTTACAATATTTTTTTATTAATGTTGAAACTTGACTGAAGTGCAACAAACAGCAGCCTAAAAATCACAGCAGGTCATTGTTTGTTTATTTATTATTATTATTTTTATTTTTTAATTAATGTACAACAAATTCGTGCAACAGGAAGCAAAGGTCAAGAATCACGACAGGTAATTAAAATTTCAGGCTGAAAAAACAACGTGTGTCTTAGCAGGTGCACCTAGCTGGACCAATCAGAGCTCGAGTTCACTGTTACTAAATATGTCATAGTTGACTTTTTCTTTATTTTCGGTTAAAGTTGAAAATAATCAAAGTAAATAACTTAATGGCTACAATATATAATGTCAATGAGAATAAATAATTATTATCATTACTTTTATTTCCTCGTCTTTTTATCCGACTCAAATGACGTAATAGGTGTGCGACGACGAGAGAGTTGTCTGTAGTCGGACGAAGGATGTCAACAAGTTTAAAACAGGCTTTAAAATCTCACTTCGGCTTCGACGGCTTTAGGTCTAAGCTTCAGGAAGATGTTGTTAAGGCTGTCGTTAGTGGTAAGTCAAAAACAGCCTACTTAATTCATATTTTCTTCTCAGTTTTTGTCTTCTCTCTTTCCTAGCAGCAGTGCTATCCCATTCAGTACATGTAACATTTGAAGCAGGCTACGAAAGGAAGTCAAACTGTCTTTCATTGTTAAAAAATTGACTTTTTTTTTTTTTTTGGTCTTGTTTTAGGTCAGAGGGATGTGTTCGTGTGCATGCCAACCGGAGCAGGAAAGTCTCTGTGCTACCAGCTGCCTGCAGTGCTGGCTGAGGGTATTACTCTGGTTATATCCCCGCTAATCGCTCTCATTCAGGTCAGACTCTTCCCTCTCCCTCATACTGATTCTGCGGGGCAATCTGCGGAATTTAAAAACAAAAGAAAATCTCATCAAGTTTCTGTAAATGCTATCACACGACAAAAACATTACTACAGAATGTTATTGCTGTTGTATTTTCTGAAATGCCTCTTTAAGAGGAAGAATATAATTTGATCATATACAGAGCCTTGCTGATCACCTTTTTTGATTAACACTATCTACAATATAATATCTACTGCAGTCTAACACCCACTTCTAACCAATAAAAGTTTACTCGGGTAGAGTTTGTCTATTTTATTGTGTGTGCAGTAATTTTGGTAGGTTGATAGTTTAAGATTATACGTATTTTCTCAACCTACATGAAAAGAACCACAGACAACGTATATGAGTTTTCAACCCAGCTTTCCTGAAAAGAGAAATCGCAGCGTACAGCTCCTGCGAGTCATTCACTGCGGGTTCTGATAACTTTCAGTTCGGCCTTGCCTTTTATTTTCACAGAAAGGAGAGATAAAGAGGTTGTGTCTCTGTACACAGGTCATCAAGTCTTTTTCTCATGAGAGCGATTTCTCATAGGAACATTCTGTTGTTAGAGATAATCATGCTACAGAGACATTCTGTAAAATGTTGGTCAAAAAGTGTCAACATAGCAGTGATTCACACACAGTTGGAAACTAAGAACCAGTAATGCAAGACTACTAATGTAAGAGTGATAACAACTCATAGTAATTCTAACATCTCCCTCCTTTTTTATCATTCTTACATATAAGTGGGAACTATCTAAAATCAAAGAAAAAAAAAGAGAACAATAAAATGCAAAAGTCTGTTTTTTTGTTGTTGTTTTTCAGTCTAAGGAATACAAACACACACTATAAAAAGAAATGTAATGTATAAAGGAAACAGTAGGAAACCAAATATCATCATGTGAACCTCAGTTCAGTTCATCTTCATCCGTCTGGAATGGTATGTAGTCCTCATTGGTGTCAGAGGTTACTCTGACCAGCTGATCACGGCAATGTTAAACGTCTTTGGCATCATGCTACAACGTGCCACCAAGGTCCCGAGGAGAGCCAGGAAAGAAAGTCAAAAGGATGTGACTGTTTTCTTGGATTTTCTGTTATTTTGTCACAGCACATTGGTTCAACTTTTTCTGTAAAGCCTCTCAAACTAGAAAGGATATCCCTGTTAAAATAACTAGCTTTTTGACATTGAAGAGTACAATTGAAAGGATTTTTTTTTCCTATTAAAAAAAACAAAACTATTAATTTTTCTTTAGTAGAAATCACATTAGACTAGGCAGTACCCACTTTAGCTGATATAGTTCTTCAAAGCTATTCAATTCTCCACACAGACATTCAGGTAACCACACAGATTTTCCTCCTAAGACAACCAGGTCATTCAAATTAACCAACAAAGTTGGCTCATCTTTTTCAATGTTAAGATTACCGCAGATTAAATTGATGGTGTCGATGTGGGGTTTTGTTTCACATTACACACTGCTGATACTTTATTTGAACTGCATGATATTCTCCAGGACCAAGTGGATCACCTAAAGGAGCTCAACATCGCCGCCTGCTCCATCAACTCCAAGCTTCCGGTGGGCGAGCGCCGTCTGATCCTGGCTGACCTGGGGAGCAAGCGGCCCAAACTGAAGCTGCTTTACATCACTCCAGAGATGGTGGCGTCGCCCTCTTTCCAGCCCTGCCTGACGGGCCTGTGTTCCCGCGGCCTGCTGTCCTACCTGGCTGTGGACGAGGCTCACTGCGTCTCCCAGTGGGGCCACGACTTTAGGCCAGACTATCTCAAACTGGGCGAGCTGCGGGCTCGCATACCGGGAGTTCCTTGTTTGGCGCTGACGGCAACAGCTCCCAAGAACGTTCAAGAAGACATCCTTCAGTCGCTTAGGCTGCGCTGTCCGATGTCTTTCGTCACACCCGTCTTCCGCAGCAACCTTCACTACGACGTGATCTTCAGGGATCTGCTGCCGAACCCTTATGCTCACCTCCATGCCTTCATCAAAAAAGCTCTGGCTATGCACAGTGGATCTGCTGAACAGGTTTGTAAAATAGAGCCTTGAGTGATTATAGTAACACATTGTACAAACCTGGTGTCATTTACCTCAGTGGTAATGATGTGAAGCAGCTTTGGAGTCTTTTTTTTTTTTTTTTTTAATGTTGCACCTTTATGTCTCCCACTTAATTTAAAACTTGTTTTGAATATTCTTATTTAATACATAGAGACGCGCTGAATCACTCAGAGAAATGCGCATTTGCCTTTTAGTTATTTTATTTCTCAGAGATCAAGCTAGATCTCTATTCAATTCTGTTTAATATGTCTTTAGTACACATAGTACCTCCTCTTCAACTGCCTCTTCTTAGGAAGTTTTTCCCTCGTGCTCATGACAAAAAAAAAAATCTCATTTTGCTCATGTCTGGGTCTGCAGCTGCGCCCTTGCTTGTTATCAGTTCCGTTTCTACCAGTTAATAAGCCAAAGTTTTTAATTTGTCTCACCAAACTCTTAAAAGTCTTGATGGGTGAAGACAGAAAACTCTCTAAAGCTTTTTGGCAGAAACAGACAGATGTAATATGTTTTAACTCTGTCCAGAGTTAAAGCAATAATATGCCACAACTCCTAATTGATGAGCAAATTTTCTGTCTATATGTATTTAAATCAGATACAAATGAGATTTTGTTTGTTTTTGGGGTTTTTTTACCCTGTGTTCAGGGCTGTGGGATTGTTTACTGTCGAACCCGGGATGGCTGTGAAACGGTTGCTTACCAGCTGAACAAGCTTGGAGTCGTAGCGAAGGCTTATCACGCAGGTAGGATGTTTAATTGTGTCTGAGGTTTTTAAACCCCATGCATTCTGCATTCTGGGTTTCAAGTGACAAGACTCTGGACTTTTGTAGGTATGAAGGCAGCAGATCGCACAGCGGCGCAGAACGAGTGGATGCAGGGGAAGGTGCTGGTTATTGTTGCAACCATCAGCTTTGGCATGGGAGTGGACAAAGCCAACGTCAGGTAAGGCAGCAAATATCCTGCTTTTGTTTTTCCTGTTCTTTTATTTTTTATTTTTACACGCGTGCTGACGTCGTTGCAGATTTGTCGCACACTGGAACCTCGCCAAATCTCTGGCGGGTTTCTACCAAGAGTCCGGACGAGCAGGTAGAGACGGTCTGCCCTCGTTGTGTCGCACGTATTACAGTCGGAAGGATAAGGAGCAGCTACACTTCCTCATTCGGCAGGAAGTCACCCGGAGACAGGTCGGATTAGCGGCAGAAGAGCTTTAGAATGATGAAACTTTAACAGCACAACATTTGCCTGAAGGTTTCTTTAATTTCTTTTAGGAGAAACGAGGCTCTTTTAAGGAGACTGACAAAGCAGCCCTCACGGATTTGGAAGCCATGGTTTTTTTTTGTGAGCATGAAGGGTGAGAGACACACAAATCCTTTAGAAACAACATTTTTATTGTATAAAAATCACTTCACTACATTATGATGCAGTAAAAATCTCACGTCAGTGTACTTGAGCTCATTAAACAGTTTCAGATATAAACATTATTCCCTTCTTTGAATGTCCAAGTTTCAATTTCAGAACAGCAGGGGGCAGACTTGTCCTTCTGTTCCCTGCTTCCAATGAACACTTTAAAAGGCAAATTTATTTTAGAGGCAAATCGCCTGAAAGTCTCAGAAATATCAAACATAGTTAAATTTACAGCCGTGCCTTAGCTGTTTTAATTTTTTTAATGCAATTTTGAGCCACAAGGGAGAGACTTTCATTGTTTATAGTGTTATTTGTTTACGCTAATGATTCACTGATTATTGAGAGTAGCAGATGTGACAAAATGAATGCATCAGTGTTTAGGTTTAATTGCATAACTTTTTTTGATTTATAGTTTTGTCAAAAATGTTCTCTCAACACAGATCTTATAAATTCCTCCGTAGCGTGTTTTGTTTGTGCTCTACTCCGTCGCTTTCAGATGACATTTCTCCTGGTTTCCTCTTCCTCACTGGAAAAACATCACTACATAAATCTCCACTTTATGAGCTTAAATTGGAACAAGAGACTTTGCTATCTGATCCTTAAACAACTTTCAGCTGTGTTCCTGTGTTGTGCTTTTTTTATGTTTCTCAATTCAAACATTGAAATTAATCTATTATAATTTAAATCCTGAAAACAACAAAAAAATTGGGGAAAAAAAAGATTAGAATCCATTTTCCTCATAGTGTATCCCAACATGCAACTATTTACTTGCTTATAAAGTTAAAACATCAACTTTCCATTCTAATATTCCTCACAGAGGAATGATACAAGGTCAGTATAAATCATTCTCAAACAAATATGGCTTTCCGCTCATCTAACACTGAGCAGCTTGTGGTTTTTTTGAAGACCTGTAAGCCTGTTCGGTGCTGCGTATTTGCTTATAAGTCAGCTGTTTCCGGCCCCGCCTTCTCCTCCTGGTAGATGAGCTGCTCTTGCTCTGCAGGCAGGGATGCTCCAAAGGAATACTGCTTCTCCTGAAAGCCTGGCCGCATTAACAGGTGTGATTTGTTAGCCTAGAACGCAATCCAAGAGTTTGTTTTGTTGTGCTGTGGCACCGCCTCCTTTTTTGTGCACACGCTGTGCAGCTTATGTCTGATTTCTAAGCACAGAGGTGAGTGGATCGGCAGGAAAAACCTGCCTGAAAGTAAAAATGTTCCCTCAGACGTCGAGCTCGTCCTGTTTGGACTTACAGCAGCAGCAGCAGCAGTGGCTCACGCAGGTGAGCACCATCATGAAAATCACCATAACTGTTGGAAAGTTATATATATTTTAGTATCTTTTAAAAATTCCAAGAAATGTGTTTTTCCTTTAAAAAAAATAAAAATAAATAAAAAAAGGAGGCATGACTCACAGATGAAGATTAGGAGGATGAAGAAGCCTCCCAGCTCCAGAGGGTGGGCACTGGGCAGACTTTGAAGCTTGAGCCAGACATTGTTCAGGAGACCCACTGTCTCCTCTCTGGCATCCATCCTGCTGAGACCACAAAGCACAAAAGGCATGTCTGAGTCACATTAGAGTGTGTGTCTGCTGTCAGTTTCTGTACACTGAGGAAAAGGAAACCCAGGAGTTTTACTGCCTGTGTGTCTGAAAGTGAAACTACTCCTGGGCAGATTTAAGCACAAATGTAACCTGCAACAATAATCATACTCATTGAACTTTTTTTAATATATTCACAAAAAAGTTGTGTGCTCTTGTGTAACCACTTTTACTCTACCTCCAATTAAAATCCAGTGCAACCAGTTGCCTTCCGAAGTTACGTGAAGAGTACTGAAACATTTATTTGATCAAATATCGCCACAGATGGCTACTTAAAAGATGTAGACTTGGACTTTAACTAGGCTATTCCAATGCATGCATACATTCCTTGTAGCTTTGGCTGAAAGTTTTTTTTTTATTATTATTTTTTGTTCTGCTGGAAGGTGAAACTCCACCCCAGTGGAGCAAACATAAGACATTGTTTGCTCTGGTTTTGTTTAGAGTAACACAATTACTTGTTTAACGTTTCAGATTTGTGTGCAAAGGACATTTTTAGGAGCCGTTCATGAGGTGCAGTTGCGCTCTGCTTTTGACACCAAATTAAAAGAACGACAAATAAAATCAAGCTTTTTGTCATAATGTCAGAGCTCATGGAGAGATCGAAGAGTTAGGAATAATTTAGTAAAGTACTTTAACTATAAGTTTAGCCTTTTCTGCCTTGTAGTTTCACACTGTAATGAGCATAATGGAAGCAGATTCCAGTTGTTTACTGTTGCTGGTGCTGCCGTGTTCTTGCTGAATTGCTCACATGGGTGTGACGCTCTATTTCCTTTTGGGGTTTTAGATTTATGTTACAATTTAAACAAAAGCTCTACAATTATTAAACCTACATGTATCGAAGAGCCTTAGCTGAGTGTTTTCCTGTCCAGAGACACGTGATCATTGAAAACACTGAGAAGCTGGTGTTGCTTAAGTGACTTTAAGCACAAACATATGTTTCTCTGGACAGCATGTACCAAATATAATCAGAAACAGCTCTGAGCAGAGCTGGGTTTACTGTAATTTTAGACTTTTTACTTACATTTTTTTAGTATATTGAAACTGAGAAAGGCGTCAGATTTGTTCGTTTCACTCCAAACTTTTAGAGACTGGAGGAACTTTTTACTGTTTCAGTCTAAAACGCAAGTACCAGAACAGTTTATTTGCTTTTTCCAAGAAAAAAAAAATGCAGGATGCTTTTGCCAATTGGGGATTTATTTCACTTAGAAACAACCTTTATGCACAAGATACTGCAGTAAATAAGTGATTTCCATGCAATTTGATGCATTCTACTCTGACTTTATAGCATATGTTTACAATTAAATCCTTATTTTTAAGACATTCTTCAAACTTTTTCACAGCTGTCGCTATTTTTTAAGTCATATTGATGCTGAGAAGGACTGAAAGACACCTACCTGTGAGAGTCTCAGCAGTTTTCCCACACTTAGTCAAGTCCACACTGAGTGTCAGAAGTTCCTGAGCGAACAGAAGAGGAGGAGGCGGCAGGGTGGAGACCGTGTGAGCATGCTACAGTGTGTTCCCAGGAGCAGTTCCCCTGCAGAGGGTTTTGTTTGGCAGAACTAGTTTGTTGGTTTGTTGCTGTGTGATGCTGCTGCAGGTCCTAAAGTAGGACGGAAAGTCATCTTATACCTTTGCTCTTGAGTTCTTCGTCTTATAGCCTCGCCTATCTCAGAGGCTGCAGTTTTCTCTTTGACAGCCCTGTCTGGGAGGGACTGCTGCTTTACACTTACTGCTGCCCTCTGGTTTACTCCTGCTCTGCAAAGCTTCCCTGTTCACACAAAAGGAAGTGGCAGCGTTCCCGTTTCTAGCGTTAGGGTTGATGCGGCTGATTCCCAAGCGGGCTCTGTGGCTGCGAGGATGTGTGGATGTTGGCGGTTATGTAACCGTGGTTAAAAAGTGAGACTGTCTGGTGTTTTTTCTAACAAACTTTATAATCTGAATTTTATGAGGACATTTTGTGAAAGTGAGTTTTGTGTTACTCATATTTTTTCTTTTAAAAAAGACAATAATTATTGACTGACGTCATAACACAAGCATTGATTCTAAATATGCGATGGTTACACAATAGCTGATGATCAATAAGGCTCTGCTGGATAATGCAGGGACATTAGCTGAACCTCTTTCTCTCCTCTTTTATCTTCTCATCTAGGGATGCAAACGGTTAATAGACTTGCAGTTAATTGTCGATTAATGGTTTATTAGATTAAAATTGGTTCCGGTCGACTCACTAATAATGTCCACTTAAGCCTTCTCTTAGTGTTGTAATTTGGACGTCATCCAGATGAGGGCGCCTCTGGTCATCCATAAGTGCAGTCAGTTGATACAGAAACAAAGATGGCGGGACCATACCAGAATGGGAAAGAGAAACGATCCAATCAGATTCTGCTTTGGGATGCAAAATGCACTTTATGCTGTTGTGTTTAGATATATGAACCCTTGTCAAGCTCCTTAAGTTCCAATTTATGGGATTTATGGAGATTAATTTTTTTTTTAATTTTTTTTTTTTTTACATATTTTATCCTTTTTATCTTTTATTTTTTTGGTTCAGCAGCTTAGATGTTCCTGTTTATTTTTTATAGATATAAAGTTTAATATTACTCAGCATTTAATACAGCTGACACGTACTGATGTTAAAATGTAATTATATATTTATTTAAATTAAGCATATTATGAAAAATTTAGCAGTTCATGTTATGTAAATACGGTCAACCCTGTATATGAGAGAAAACTCAGGCTTTTAAGAAAATTACTGGTCAATCGGAAAGATCCTTCAACTTTAGATCATTAGCTCATTAATCAATATCTCGCGTCCTTATTCTCATCAGGTGTCGCCATGCCAACATCTCCAAGTTTTTTGGGGACAAGACGCCGAAGTGCGCGGGCGCCTGCGACTTCTGCCTCAACCCCAAAGTCGTGCGGGCCCAGCTGGAGCGAGCAGCCGCCCTCAGCACCAAGACCGAAGAGGGCCAGAGTGGAGAACCCAAAGGGCCGTTCGGGTACATGCCGGAGCAATACGAAGGAGGGAAGAAGGGCTACGGCTTCGAAAGGCAGGGCGAACGCTTGGTTGCGCATTCCGAAATGTGGTTTGAATGCGACTTGGTGTGAGGTAATGATGATAATGACGCTGCCTTCCACTTCTGCAGGTTCGATGAAGGGGAGGGAGGAAGTGCTGAAGAGGAGACCAAGAAGAGGAAGAAAGAGTTTTCTGACCTCTTCAGGAAGCAGATGAATCTACGGAAGGTGACTTCTGATATTTATTGAACAATCTGATGCCTATCTGAGCACATCACAGTCAGACATTTTCTATCTAAATGGGATTTTTTAAAAATGTATTCTTAAACATTAAAAATGCATAGAACATAGAATTTTGGAGCCTCTCTACCATCTGTATGCAAGCTGCTAGCGGCAAAGACTGACCATTCCTGTTGGAGCCCGTCTTGTGAAATCACTCCCACATGTTGGAGAGAGCTGGCACGACGTTCGAGTCAAACTGCTCTAAGCGGCGGCCAGCCAAACCCTTTACAGAACAACATAACAAAGACAGGAATGTCGAGACGGTGAAAGAAAAATGAGCCGAATAAAAACCTGAACCCCTTTCTGTCAGTGCAGTCCGACAGAAAAACGACTGTCACAGTATCGTTTTCACACGGCGTGGCTGAAAGACGTGCCGGTGTGAAAGTGCTAACTCATGTTGATGCTCGTGTGTCTTCAGGGCTCTGACGGCCTGAGGGAGGACTTTGTTCCACCAGGTACCGCCAACAGTGCAATAAGACACTGAGACGAGTCGAGAGGTTTATCAGTGGTGTAACAAGTCGTTCCTGTTGTGCAGATGCTGACTGCCTGCTCAGAGAGGCCAGCAGCCAGAGGATCCCCCGGCTCAGCGTGAAGGTACATGACAGAACTGGAGCACATTCCTCTCCCGCTTTCATTAACGAACGCTCGTTAACTCACAGGCGGGACAGCAGGTGTCTGTGCAGCCGCAAAAGTGTGTAGACTTTAATTGAAAATGCATTTTTGCTACATCTGTCCACCATGTAGTTGCTCTTTTGATACAAGATTGTGAAAAATGTACTTTTATTTAGGTATTGCCTCACAACGGACGTTCATTTCATATGAATAGATTAAGACATGAAGTTTAATAAACAGGTTTCCAGGGTTAATCAAAAAGTACGGAAAAAGTTCAGTTCCTTCCTGCGTTCCTTCCTCTACAGAAAATAATACAGTAAATAAAAGGTGAATTTTAGTTTTTACATTTTGAAAACATGCCACAGAGCAGCCAGAGAACTGCAATAAGTACATTTTGACAGAACAAATGCAAAAATTTAATTTAGTAAACCTGAGTCTCGTTGCAGACCAGAGAGCATTGCCTGTACCGCCTGCGAGATGCTCTGCGTGACCACCAGGGGGCAGAAGACATATTCAGGTCAGAGGACTCAGATGTTCTCAACAAGCGTTCAGCTGTAACCCGATAGAATAAAACAAATAAGAGTCTTCCTTTATTTCCTTTCTGTCTCTCAGCTGCAGCAGTCTGATGTCAGCGGTGGATTTGGAGTACGAGGTTTTCAAAAGCTGCAAATCCTCCAACTTGTACAAAGCTGCCATCTTGAAGAAGGTAGACTGACAATGTCTACACCACTATATGAGCGATTTTAAAATAAAACCGGGCATGTTTTTCATTTAACTCATCTGTTGTCCTGAAGGTGTCGGAGATTACAAAATCAGCCCCTCAGACGGAAGAAGGCAGCAGCAACGACTCCAGAGAAACGGAGACGAAGTATAAACCCGATGGAAATTCCTCATGTTTATACCCAGAGGAGCTGCAGGGCTTCACCTCGGCCTCCCAGATCTACTCTGTACGAGTGGCTTTTTTTACACAAGCATCGCAGAACATCAAGCACGATTTAATTCTCCTCCTTTTTGCTCCAGATGAAGCGGAAAAGAGTGGGAGCGGGCCAGAGGGGCTCCTCTAACTGCTTCCAGTCCGCCAAGGACCTCCTGAATCCCGTGTCTAGCAAAGCGACGGAGAACGGGGGCTTCATCGCCGACTCCTCCGCGGAGTCGGACGTCAAGCGGATCAGGGTGAAAGAGGCGGAGACGGCACTGTCCACCAGAACCGGAGCCGGAGCTGTCAGCCCGGCCAAAGCAGGCAGAGTCATGAGCAGGAAGCAGCAGAAGATGGCAGAAGCGGCGAAGAGTTCTCGCAACATCTCGCAGTACTTTGTGAAGAAAAAACCCGCGGAGGAGGAAGAGCAGCGCCCGGAGGCAGGTGGCTTGCCGTCAGAGACTCTCGGTGAGGTTTGTGAAGAGAACTCGAGGCAGGAGCTGCTTTCCCTGCCGAGCGATCCTGCGCTTGAAGAGAGCGAGGATCTGATCCTGATAGAACCTAAAAGGGAAGTCATCGTCTTGTCCGACGACGAAGAGCAGGAAGCGGGAAGAGAAGTGACTTTGACTCTGGTCGAAGACATTCCTCATGAGGATACGACTACGATCACAGAGTACTTAAACCTCAGTAAACATTTCTGTCAAACTTTACTGGTAAAAGTCTTTTTTACAACCTTAACTACATTTTCACCATTTTCAGACCAAACCAACCTAAAGAGGAAGAAGAAGAAGAAGAAGAAGTACCTGCTAGTCTGCTTTTAGTTCAAGAGGTAGAGTGTCTTACAAAAATATTCATAACGTCTCATTATGGACACACACTTTAACATGCTTTATTGGAGATTATTGGTGCTCTCGGCTGTGAAGTGGACAGAAAATAATGCACAGTTTTACATTATTTTACCCATAAAAAAATCTGAAAAGTGTGGCGTGAATTTGATTTCAGCCCCCCTTTTGCTTTGATACCCCTAAATAGAATCCAATGCAACTGACTGCCTTCAGAAATGACCTTCACTGGTTATTCAAACTGTGTTTAATTTAACATCAGTAAAAATGCAGATGTTCTGAGAAAGCATCAGAGGTTCGTTAGAGAACACATGTGAAGATGAGAAAAACAGCAGACACACCAGAAATAAAGTTGTCTGAACAGTTTGTAGTCACTAACTTCACCACACACACACACACAAAAAAAACAAACTTAGATTCTTGGATTTAACTACAGAATAACTCAGGAAAAAAATGAGCATGAAGAGCGATCAGGTTTTGAAAAGTTTCCTGAATTTATGAGGGAGAGCAAAGTTAAACGCTAATGCTTTTGTGAAAAAAAAAAAAAAAACAACTAAAAACTAAAACAGCAAACCAGAAAGTGATGGGCCCAAGCCAAAGAAAAACTCACTTCTAGACCAATAGATTTTATCTTGCATATAAAAAAAAACCTTCTTCTACCATCTATTAAGTTGAGAGCTATTTAACCAACTATTATTTAACCAAAAACACCCAGTTTCCACTCATCATTATTAAATACTCCTTAAGACAAAGGTTTGTTTGTGTAGCAGGTCAGTAATATGAAACATTCAGCTTTTTGGAGCGGCCTAGTCAAAGTCCAAGAAGGACTTAAACTGCTTTTGCCGGAACGGGTTTCACTTCTCCTTCTGATTCTTAGTTATGCACTGCTTCGAGTTGGTCCATGATATAAAAATCTCGCTTTCTGTTCAGGATTTAAGTTTTTTAATTAATTCTCGGCGATGGATGACAGCGCTGTGTGTTTGCAGGCTGCAGACGAGGTGGAAGCGGAGCAGAAGGAAGCGGAGCAGAAGGAAGCTGAGCAGAAGGAGACGTCTCCTGTGGCGAAGCGCAGCCGGACGTTAGGTTCCAGCAAAAGGAGAGTGACGTTCAACCCGGAGGTGCAGGAGAGGTCTCTGCCGCCGCCCGGTGACCCCGGTAACCTCGGTGACCCTGTGAAGGCCGTGACCCTGCAGGAAACGGCTAACATTGTGGTCCATTATCTCAACCCCTATTATACTCAGGGAAAGTTTGCCACTAAGGTGTGTAGAGTTCTACATTAGCAAATTAGAACTAAATTGAACGTGTGTTTAATAGATGTGTGAATGCTTTCACAGGTTCTGTTTAAGTCTTTTGCGCGATACTTGTCTCACCTTCTTACAGAGGGTAAAAGTCGTGAAAAAAACCAAGGTAATTAAACACTTAATGCCATATGAACATTTTTTTTTGTTTGTTTTTGTCATTGACGTTTCAGTAACTATAACCTCTGTGTCTGCAGTTAAAAGTGAAGTCAAAGTTCTCATCAAGACGTTCTTCAGCAGAGTCCAGCGCTGCGAGAGCGAGGCCGACTGGGCAAACCTGAAGAGACCGCACAACTCCAGAGTCCCAGAGAGCAAGGACTGATGGGACATGCAGTCCTTTTCCTGTGTCAAAGCCTTCTTTATCAGTGCCTGTCTGGATCCTGCTGTTGATCTCAGGCTTTTTATTCAAAAAGCTTAAAATGAAGGGCTTTCGGAGCTGCTTGCACGTCATGTCGAGACAT